GACTGGCCTGTGCCGGTTGATGTCAAAGGTCTTCGAAAATTCCTTGGGCTAGCGGCGTATTTGCATAAGTATTCACGCAATTACGCCGAGATGACTGTGCACCTCTCTCGTTTGTTGAAAAAGAACGAGAGGTGGTTATGGAACGCTGAATGTCAACGCTCCTTTGAGGGTATCAAGCAGAGCTTGATACAATCCCCAGTCCTAGCAATAGCCGATCAGGACAGGCCATTTCATGTGGTCTGTGATGCCAGCGATTTCGCAATCGGCTGTGCATTAATGCAGTACGATCTTGAAGGCGTTGAACGCGTCGTCTGCTATCAGTCGCGTCAGCTGCAACCAGCTGAGCGGAACTATCCAGTGCATGACAAGGAACTCCTTGCCATGAAGTATGCACTCGCGAAGTTCAGAGTCTATCTATTAGGAGATAGACCCTTCGTTGTTTACACTGACCATGCGTCCTTACGCACGGCAGTGAACAGCCCGCACCTTTCACAACGAATGGCGCGGTGGTTGTCATTCTTTGCAGAATACAACTTTACGGTCGAGTACAAACCAGGACGACTTAATGTCGTCGCTGATGCACTCTCACGTCGGCCCGACTTTGAAACAGTCGCGAAACCCAACAGTGAGACAGTCACTGTTGCGGTTATGACGTCCTCAGTCCCATCTACAACGTTGTATGATGATGTGAGGCGGGCATACGCCCAAGATGGTGAGATTGTGAAGTTGTTGACACATCTCTCCCAACCATCTCGAGAATCGTTGAACCGATTGTCGTCTGCGTATCGATCTGCATCAGATCGATACACTACTCGTAACGGTTTACTGTACTATACAGCCGTTTCTGGTGACACACCACGTGTTGTCATTCCAGATGATACTGATCTGCGTTTGCGGATCATGTTCGAGTATCACGATGCTCCTATAGGAGGACATCGTGGCCGAGAGAAAACATATCTCATGGTAAGTCGAGACTTTTACTGGCCCCGCCAGTATCAGTTTGTGCGAAAGTATGTTCGCGCATGCGAAGTCTGCCAACGAGTGAAGTCAAGTCCTTCGCTGCGTGCACCTTTACAGCCTCTACCGGTTCCGGCTGAGTGCTGGGAATCCATCTCAATGGATTTCGTCTTCGGGTTACCCAAAGACGCACGCGGGAATACGGGTATTCTCGTATTTGTTGACATATTTAGCAAAATGGTACACCTTGTGGCTGTACCAGAGACAATCACGGCAAGTGGCTGTGCTTGTGTCTTTATTGACACCATCTTTCGACTTCATGGGTTGCCCCGTGAACTCGTATCAGACAGAGATCCACGATTCACTGCTGATTTCTGGCGTTCCGTGTTCAAATCACTCGGAACGCGCTTGAAGATGTCAACATCTGATCATCAAAAGTCAGATGGTCAGACGGAACGTACCAATCGTGTCCTTGAAGAGATACTTCGAGGATACGTACACTCCTTTAAGAGTTGGAGTGAGTTTTTGCCGATGGTAGAGTTTGCCATCAACAACTCGGTGCATGCGTCCACGACACATACACCGTTTTACGTGAATGGCTTGCGCCATCCGCGTGTACCCACCTTACTAGAGTGTAGCTCTGGTTTAAGGGGGGGAGGGACTCGCGCGAGCAAAAACCGATTTGGTTCACGCTCATCACGCTCTGACGAAGAAGTCATTGCGTTTGATGCCGATATCGATAACATCGATATCGAAGAAGATGATGCCAGTGAGAGTGCGGAAGCCCTCACTGAAGAAGATGATCCCAGTGAGAGTGCGGAAGCCCTCACTGAAGAAAAGGTTGATGTTGCTGCAGTGCGCTCACAGCACACTGAAGCTAACGAGTCATCAGATGAGTTCATACTGGCTCGTGAAACGGTAGTCCGTTTTGTGCAAGACTCCATCGCCGAAGCGGTGGATAAGCAAAAGCAAAACGCTGACAAGAATGGAAGGGCAAACACTCTTTTATTTAATAAAGGTGACTTAGTCCTACTGTCTACGGTTAATCTACCAAAGCATGTAGTGACTAACTTGGGTAGCAGTAAACTACTACCCAAGTACATTGGCCCATTTCGTGTATTGCACCGCCTAGGCAATGCATACACGATCGAGTTACCACGTAAGATGCGAACGCATCCCACGTTTTACGTTGGTCGGCTTAAGCCGTACCATCAGTACGCTGCTTCTTCCGATGAAGAACGCCCTTGCGCTCAAGCATCTCGCAGAGAGCCTTGTGCTCCCGATGGTGGGCATCAACAAGGGTCTGAAGAGCAGCTATCTCATCCCGAGACCGATCAGCAATCCCACGAGCTACCCTTAGCTCGTCACGAAGAGATGTCAGAGATCTCTCGTTCTCAAGCTGAGCAAAGGCAAACTCAGCTCGATGCTTCGAGGCAGTGTCCGCCATTTGGAGACGCCTATTCCGCTCATGTTCGAGATCGTCGCGTAACCCTTGCGTTACGCGATCAAAGAAGCTCTCGGGAACACACCGATCCACATGATCGTGTGGAGAGCGTCTTTCCTCCTCCTCCACCTCCATTAGAGGACTCTCGCGGTGGCCAGCGCTATCTAGTTGAGCAGCTGTTGAACCACCGCGACGTGAACGGACGTCGGACGAGTTATATCGTCCGGTGGCGCGGCTATCCCCCGTCCTGGGATTCTTGGGAGCCCCGCTCCCAACTGATGATCGACGTACTGGGTCTGGTTGAGCAGTACGACGCGGCACATCCTGTGCCGCAGAAGGACCGCCGGAGAAAGTCTTCCAGGCACGGTCGTAAGGGGATTTCAGGTTGTCAATCCCTTCGTACATCTCAGTAGAGACACGTACGCGCCACCACGGGCTGGTAAGGAGGCAAGCCTCCTTAGGTGCTCGTGCAGAGTTGTTCACAAAACATGGGCACGAGTCTTTCCAAGAGAGGCAGGGTAATCCTTTCTCCCTTGACAGACGATGCAGCTTGTAGCGTGCACCTGTCGGGGTTCGCTTTTCAAACTTATCACGAGCTTTGATAAGTTTGTCGTTCCAAGCGTCACGACCTACATCCTCGAGGTTATGGATGTAGGCGTTCCACGCCTGAAGTAGTGAGGGACCGTTTGTGATTCCCACTGTACCATCGATGTCTAAAGAAAGCATCGATGAAGAATTCATGTTCAGCGCGATAGTTTTTCGCGCTGGGGTCAAGGTGATGGATCCTTGACGAATCGAACAATCGTGTTCGATAACGATCACTCGTCGTCGCCGACAAGTGATCCATGACGGATTTTGGAGGCATCCATGCCTTCTTTTCTGGAGCGAGACGCAAGACATTGCGGTCCCGCTCTTCCTGCGACGTGCCGACAGAAGTACTGGCACCTCGCTGTGAAGTGGTGTCCATAGGAGAACCGACACCACTATTAGCGCCCGAGTCTCGCGACCTCGAGCGCCTTCGCTTCGGCGATGGTTCATCTGATTCATCAGATGAACCAAAGATGCTGCGACGCAAAGCATCGTCCATGCCACGCTTGGCAGGCGGCTTGGATTCGATCGCCGTCGATACGGATCCGTCATCCGTATCAGGAGAGTACGAGACACCGAGCTCGTACTCTGTGAAGACACGAGTGTCTTCATGACCAGCGCCTGCATCACCAAGTGACACAGGCTGGGTCGCTTCAGCAACCGATGAGACATCAGTTGCTGTTGTTTCTGCTTCGGCGTCCGCACAGAGACGTGCAGACGCGCTCTTGGCGGCCTTGCTCGCGCATCGCATGGGCTTGTTTACCATGCGATGAAATGTTGGAAAGTGGACGCGGACCAACAAGTGCAAACCCTGTCCCAAATGATTTGGGACGAGTATCCATTTAGTCAATCAGTCACTAAAGTGACTGATGGTTAAGGGGGGGTGATGTAACGGGGTGAATCGTTACATAACAATTTATAAGAAATTGTTAATAGAATATAACTATAAGAGTTATATTCTCAGAATATTGTCATAAGGACAAATATTCTGTAGCACTTACAAGTAGTTCCTAATTGGTTGATATAGGCCGTTATATCAACCAACGAAGACGCGCCACGACAGACGCACGCAATGAGTGGTGAGCAGATAACTGATTTACACATTTGTATTTAGACATAGTTAGATGAAGATAAATAGTGATTTATTGCAGACATTAACTATTATAAATACAGTTCTACTTTTTACTCTAACCAAGTACTCGCTTCTTCTTACCGTCTTCCTCTGCACGTACGAGTGTACGTGAAGTTACGAGGCACCGCCTTATTCTGTCATCAGAATAAGTAGCTTGTACTGTCACCAGTACAAGCTTCAGGGTGCCCCGTTACACTTCCGGTCTAGACCGAAGAAATACTCAGCGCGGCAGTAGTTCACATCTCATCAGTGGTCGTACTATCATACCTGGTACTCTGATGCGCGTGCCTCACTCATTACCATAAGAGCTGGAATGTCTGTATCAACACTCAAGATCCGCTGACGCTTCCTTGCCTCTTGTTCGCTGCCAGCACCACAGCTATCGAATCCAGTACTAAATTCAATGGCAGGCAGCAGTGACGATCTTAGCCTCGCACCACGACTCACGTCTCACGATACGTCACATGCGCCGGGGTTCCGCCGTGCAATACATTTGTGTTTTACACAGCGGCAAAACTTACGCCCACGACGTCATATTTCCACCTCTATAGTGCTTCTCTCGTCACGAAAATGCGGTCTACGCAGCGCTAAGCTCGACCATTCTGATAGATCTCAACGCATGACGATCACCTTAGACACAATGGTTTCTGTTGTTTGGGCGATGATGGGACCGCCGAGCACGACTCAAAAGCGTTATTACGTTCAATCGTGCACCTGAGGATACAAGAGAGGCGAGGTAGTCTTTCAAAGGAGGACGTTTAGACCGTCCCGAGCAATCCCAACCACCCGTTTGTCCATCACAGCACTTTATTCGACTCTACAGTTCGCGAGCTTCATCTTCACCCAGTCCAAGGCCAACCCGAACTCCCAGCCTACGGGATGCATCCCTCCGCCATCTCACTCTTAGCTGCGCTATCTCCGAGATATGTCGGCAGTGCCTTAACTGCTGCTATCGTGGAGGAAACTGCAGTTGATCTTACATTCCAAGGCCGCTGGCCACCGACCGGCATTCAGCACCATGAGACGTCTCTAGGAAGTCTCCAGGGAGTATCAGACAATAGCGAAGAGAGGGCGTTTTCTGGTGCTGACGCGGCACTGCGTCTGCTTGGGGAGATTGGAGAAAGAGGACGGCCCTTGCACGCCAACTTTGTGGCAGCATCTCTAAAGACAGTCGATGGTGCCCCCTACTTAATGTCTTGACCCTCCTCAAAGATTTGGATCGGGGGTCTCGAAAAAGAAAGCGTGGTGCCTTGAGTACACTTCGACGATGGGGTCCGAGATCTCCAAAAAGAAAGCGCGGGGCCAAGGAGATGGTGGTGATGAGCAACGAAGTGTCGATTGGAGATCTGAGTGAGGTCTATGGACCATAATTGGCAAGTGGAATGGTTACCTTGAGGCAGGGTTCTTCCAGTAGTTCGACTAAGAAGATTGCTGAGTAGCTTTATGCGGACTAATTCGAGAAGTGGTGGAGTCATGGCGCATCTGCCACGACGGCTGTGTCGGTGCTAAAATCCGCAACCAGGAAATGCTTGCCGAAAAACTGCAGATGTTGCAAGACTACGTCATGTTTATTCACGGCAAGATGTCTAGCGACATAACTCTCGTCAAAGTCTTGGCGATAGCCTTCAGTGGTGAGAACAAATTGGCGTCATTCATAGCAAAGGCCAAGCTGAATAGCGACGCGAAGAGTGCAGCTGAGATCCTGGAGAAATTGCTGATTGGCAAGTGGTTGCACAAGGACATGCAGCCCGAATTACTGCTGGAGCTGCTTGAGATGGACGCAAGTCTGGAAGCCCTGATCAACCCAATGCTGGACACGGTCATGAAATACATCGCTGTATTTAACTTGAAGCATGGGGGATCTAACTTTTTAGTGCTTCCTCGGTTTAAAAAGCGCGACAGCATCGAAGCTGTGGCGAAAATGCTTGTTCCCTTAAGTCAGGCTGCTTCCGACGAAAGTTTAAATGGAGATCGTATCAGAGTGTTGCAGAGCCAGCTGCTGCAGAACTGGCTGGACGATGGGAACCCAATCGGTGATTTTTTTGAGCTATTGCTAAATAGTGACAAGCAAGCCGCAGAACGTGCTGCTGCAGTAAAACTTTTGGACGTACTACTCGACTATTCTTGACAAGTCAAGGCAATGGATCACCGACCTTTAATGAAGAGAGTGGACGGGTTAATTGCTTCCGCGGATTTGCTTGCGGAGGCTGTAACGGGGTGAATCGTTACATAACAATTTATAAGAAATTGTTAATAGAATATAACTATAAGAGTTATATTCTCAGAATATTGTCATAAGGACAATATTCTGTAGCACTTCCAAGTAGTTCCTAATTGGTTGATATAGGCCATTATATCAACCAACGAAGACGCGCCACGACAGACGCACGCAATGAGTGGTGAGCAGATAACTGATTTACACATTTGTATTTAGACATAGTTAGATGAAGATAAATAGTGATTTATTGCAGACATTAACTATTATAAATACAGTTCTACTTTTTACTCTAACCGAGTACTCGCTTCTTCTTACCGTCTTCCTCTGCACGTACGAGTGTACGTGAAGTTACGAGGCACCGCCTTATTCTGTTATCAGAATAAGTAGCTTGTACTGTCACCAGTACAAGCTTCAGGGTGCCCCGCTACAGAGGCGATGTCTGGGGAGGAATCCACCATGTCTACTATTGTCATAGCACGGTGGTATGAATTGTTTCCGGTGGCGAATGAACAAGGTTTAACATCGACAAAGGTTCGCGGCTTGTTTTCGACTGTTCGAGCAAACGCGTTGGTGCAAGTGGAGTCGATTGTCAGCCGCTACGAAACGTTTTTATGCTCCAAAAAATGAAGACGCCGAAGCGGGTCGATGGATGGATTCGCAAGTGGCTTTGCGAGTCTTTGCGTGCGATGCTACGCTCGAGGAAAGCAGTCTGTTTCGTCACAGTCTGGTTCGCAATGTGTGTTACCGCTACCTGCAATACACGCAACAACGACGCTTTTGTTTGCTTTGCGCTACCTAAAATTTATCTGGGGACAGTGGGCTTAGCGCAACATTACATCACAAGCACTCACCCGTGCGCGTGACAGCTTCTCTGATAATACATGCGCAGCATCGTCAGCAGCTTATCCAGGAGCTCGGTATCGTCATAACTCGTCTCGATCAATGTAGGTCGAGGCCAGAAAGACGTACTCAGCTGCATCGAGACACTGGATCACAGCAATCGTGCGATTGGTCTGCCACATACACAAAGCTCAACTTCGTCGAAACAACGCTTTGGAGACAGAACATCCGTGCACACAAGTTCACGGTACGGTTGCCAAACAGCTTCGACCCACGTCAAGATCCAGCCACGATGACCGGCCAGTGATCATAGGCATCTTGACTATCGTGCACGAAACGCAGGCGCACCGCTTTGTCTTAATTTCTGTACCACAAAGTCAAGGCGATTTCGACATATAGGATCGCCTGTACTTCGGCTTCGGGTCAAACGCGCGAGTACGAAGTGTTGGTGTGACTGGCCGGTAGCGGCAAAGACCATAATCCTGTCATCAACCAAACAGGACTTGCAGTTTCTGCAATAAATACCTCACAACTCCATCAGTTACCTGTCATTGAACACAACAGGTGCTTCCGCTGAGAGAGTACCACCACAAACGGTAAAAACTATGCATGGGATTGTAAAATGAGCTACTGCGAGCAGCAAAGTCCATGCATATAAACAACCGCTCCTGCGTAAGACGTACACTAGTTACTCGTCGGCTGCCTTGGTCGCCTCCAGATTCTTGAACATGGCGATTGCCTCCTCGAGCGTCTTTGTACCCCTCACCTTGTTGTCACGCGTACGAATATTGACAGACCGCGCTTCCTGCTCCTGTGCGCCCACAACTAAAATGGAGTTGTAGTGGGCCATCTGACCCTCGCGGATCTTTTTGTTCAGTGTCTTGCCAGTGTCATCGATATCCACGTCAAAACCGGCGCGGAACAGTACGTCCTTGACCTCGTAACCGTAGTCGATGAAGGCGGCGCCTACCGTGACTATAAGAATCTGACGCGGTGACAACCAGAATGGAAACTTGCCGGCATAGTGCTCCACTAAAACAGCAACAAATCGTTCAAGCGAACCATAGATGGCACGGTGAATGATCACCGGACGCTTGAAATTCTCTGCGTCATCCGTGCGGTACTTCAAGTTGAAACGGATGGGCAGCTGGAAGTCGAGCTGTACCGTGGCGCACTGGTGTTGACGCTTCAGTGCATCCGTAATCATAATGTCAATTTTTGGGCCGTAGAAAGCGCCATCACCTGGGTTGACCACCCATTTGCCAGTGCCAACAAACTCGTCCAGAGCCTCAGCAAGCTGCTTCTCAGCGCGTTCCCACTGTTCCAACTCGCCCATAGCCTTCTCAGGGCGCGTGGATAGCTCCAGCTTGAACTCAATACCAAAGACGTCGTACACGTACTTCATAAACGTCAGAAAATCCAGCACTTCTTTCTTAATCTGATCATCGCGACAAAAAATGTGCGCATCGTCTTGCTGGAAGCGACGCACACGTGTGAGGCCTGTGAGGGCACCACTCATCTCGTTACGGTGTAGCACGCCGCAGTCCGCCAAACGAATAGGCAGCTCACGGTAAGAGCGCTGACGGAAGTCGAACATGAGCGATGCTGCTGGGCAGTTCATGGGCTTCAGTGCATACTCCTGTCCCTCCACGTCGAACACAAACATGTTTTCCTTGTAGTGCTGAGCGTGGCCCGAAATGTTCCACAACTCCATGTTGAAAATGTTGGGCGTAATGACTTCGGTGTACCCTCGCTCGCGATACTGTTCTCGAATGAACTTGAGCAGCTTAAAGTAAATGGCTGAACCGTGTGGTAGCCAGAAACCGCTCCCAGGGCTCAGTGAGTGGAAAAAGAAAAGCTCCTCGCTCATACCGAGACGGCGGTGGTCACGCTTCGCAGCCTCGGCCTGAAGATACTTCCATTCTTTCATTTTGTTCTTGTCGGGAAACGAAATGCCGTACACACGCTGCAACACGTCGCTCGAAGTCTTTCCGAGCCAGTACGAGCTCGAAGAGCGCGTGACAGCAAGGGCCTTAATTTTGCCCGTGTGGGGAACATGTGGTCCACGACAGAGGTCAATGAGCGGGCCACATCGGTAGGCCGTGGTCTTGGCACCGTCAGGGATCTTGGTGGCAATAATTTGCGTCTTGAACACATTGTCTGCAAACATCTCGAGCGCTTCTTCTTTCGTCAACACGATGCGTTCAAACTTTTGCTTGTCCTTCACGACCTTCTGACAGGCTTTTTCAATGACACTCAAGTCACTCTCGAGCACCGTGTGCGTGCCCATGTACGAGTCATAGTAAAACCCTCCCTCGATAGGAGGACCGATCGTCAAGTGCGCGCCCTTGAGCGTTTCTAAGCTCTCGCCCAAGATATGAGCACTCGAGTGCCAAAAGACCATCCGGCCGTCGTGGTCGTCAAACTTGAGCAGTTCCAGGCGACAGTCGCCCAAAAGCGGACGAAAGACGTCCCAGAGCTCGGACGACGAGCCAGCCACAGCACTGCAGCAGGAATCCGGAGCCGCTTTGTCACTGGCTTCGTTGCCGTCCACGTCGGCCGTCGCGACACTGAAGGGGTCCTCCGGCTTCCCATGATACGTGACACGAGCCACCACCACTTGGTCCGCGAGACTCTGCGAGATCGCGAGCGCCACGTCCAGCGGCGTCGTTTGCCACGCGATTCCATCCTTCGTTGCACCATCCGGGAGCGTGATCCGGATCGGCGTCTCTTGAGCGGCCAGCGCCTCGATTTGCTGCTTCTGATTGGCCATAATACGGTCGTACACGGCCACTCGAGCGGAGACGAACGGCGGCGTCGGCGTGACGGTGAAGGGGCCGCCAATCTTGAGCGAACTGGCGGCGCCTGAGATCTTGGGGCCGCTCTCTTTTGTGAGACGCGTTTGCACGCGCACGGGGTCGGTACTCATGGCGAGGGCGTGGACGGCGAGAGCGAGAGCGAGCGAGAGAGAGAGTGGCGGAGAGGGAGCGAGCGAAATGGTTGGTGGGTGTACACAGATGACACACGAATTTGGAGCGTGATAGAGAGGGGGGTATAACTGGAAGGGGGGACAGCATCGATGCTGTTGTGGGAGTTATTCCGACGAGAGAGGTGATGGGTTGAGCTCTAATGCGACAGAATAGAGTGAATATGGAGCTGCTCACGTTGTTACGGTGGTAATCTTCACTGGCGTCACAGACGCCTGAGCGATGAGTGCAGCTTGTATACCGGATATCCGGACAGGCACGAGGCGTTTCGACAGACTATGTCAAACTTGACGCAGCCTGTATACACGGGCTCAAAACAAAAAAGCACCCAGTGATGGATGGCACACATCTACTCTCATTTTTTCGTCACTGTCCTTCTCCTCTTTGGAAGCCACGAAGATCGTCCGGAGAGGAAGCAGGCAAATAGGTGCAAGTCGCAGCTACTGCCCGTCCCGTCCATTGTGATTGCTTCCGTACGTGCTTGCAAGAAGAGGGTCTGGTCCTCCCAGTGTGACTCGTCCAGTTCTCTATAGTGACGCAAGTGCGAGCTGAGCCTGCAGCTGCTGGACCTTTTCCTTCAGCTGGAAGTTCTCGCTGCGTACGTTGGCAAGCTCCGAGTGCACAGCACGCAGCTGCCCGTTCTGTTCCTTTTGCAATGACTGGAATGACGCCAGCGTGTCAAACATCTTCTCTCGTCGTGTTTCCAGCTCCAGCACGCGTGCACGTAGCTGCTCCTTGTCCATGCCCTCCGTGATGATCCGCGTGAAGATACTGAAGATGTCAGACTCATCTACATATCAGCATGCCAAGCACGTACACAATCAAGTACTTGTTCAAAGCAGATCAATCAATGGCAACACGAATAACGTACCGTTCGCGTAGTCGTTGTCGACAATGTTGACGAGGAAGTACGTGTCGTAGATATGCTGGATGACCTCGTGCGACCGCGATCCTACAGGGTAAGCTGACGCCCACTGCGTCTGCCACAACTCGAACGCTTCGTCCTTCCAGGCTGCAAAAGAGTCCGAGTCGACGACCGTAGGCTGCACGATTTCAATGCCGGGAAAGACGCCCCACGTGACGGCCGTGACGCTGTGCAGCGGAGTGTTGCGGTGCTCGTCGCCCCGATGGTTGAAAGCGTGGAACGACAGCTGTGGGTAGTCTCGTCGCATAACTTTCACAAGGTGCGCCATCTTTTCAGGAGCTACGAAGAATTCCACGTAGGCTTTCTGAAACACAACACCATTGTCACCACCCCAGCCAACGGAAGAATCGCTCGAGGGAGCACCGTTCACACGCGGCTGACTGTTGATCGTTAGGAACCCATTGGCGTTTAGCCACTGCAAGTTTTCGCGGATAACAGCACTCTCGCGCGACAGGGCCTGCTCGCACCATGGCAATTGCTTCACGTGGCCTTCAATGAAGCGAACGAACACGTTCCAGACATCTTGCTCATCCTGTGGCGTGCCCCACAGTTCAGTGCGCTGAAGCTTGGGTCGTTTGAAAGCCAGGTAGTACTCGGACAGCTCGCCGTAGGCCGGACTTGTGCGATCTCCCCAGCGTCCATTGGGAAACTCGTCCCACGCAGCCGTGCGCGCAATGTAACTAGCCTGTCGATTAGACCAGAAGATCGGACGCACTTGCTCGCCCTCGATGGAGGAGCGCTGTAGCGTTGACTGCCACGGGAGCTCGCGCTGGTTCCGTGCAGGCAGCAATTGCAGACCTTCTAGCACCTGCGTGACAGTGGCAGCCAGGTTCATCGTGTAGAAATGCAGCGAGTGAACTCCCGCAGCCAGCAGCCGCTGACACGTCTCAACTGCAAGCTGCGTGCCGTAGCGACGAACCGCTGCGTCGTCGTTTTTCACTGCATCTAAATCCGCTAGCACTTGTTCGGGCACGCGGGTCTTGCACCAGCTCGTAAACTTGCGAAAGGAGCTGTAATTCTGGATCGGCAAGTAACCAGGCAAGATCGGGATGGTAATTCCCGCATCTCGACAGTCAGCAATCCACCGGATCATATTGTCCACATCAAAGAAGAACTGCGTGATAATAAACTCCGCTCCAGCCTCCTGTTTCTCTTTCAGTCGCTTCAAATCCAAAGCACGCGCCTCGTTGGACGGTGGCAGGTCCGGGTGGTTCCACGACTCGGTGTGAACCTCAGCGTACCCTGCACAGGCAATACAGAAAAAGTCGCCATGCTCCTCTCGAATAAGCTTAATAAGGTCCACCGCATTGCACATCCCGTTTTCCACGGGCGTCCAGCGCTCCGCTCCAATTGGCGGATCGCCTCGAAGCGCGAGGATGTTGCGGATTCCAGCCGCCCGGGCGTTCTTGAGTACCCGCTTGAGGTCTTCAGTGGGCAAGTGGCACGTGAGGTGCAGGAGCACGTCGAGCTGGAACTCGTTCTGGATGTGGCTGCCAATGCGCAGCCACAGCGCTTCGTCGGCAAAGGCCGAGCGCCACGTGAGCGTCACGAACGTCGGCTGGAGCGCGAGTCCCATCTCTTCCACGCGCGTCAGGAGGTTGAAGACGCCGGCGTCGGTCTTGGCCGGGAAGAACTCGAACGAGAGTGTGGGGCGTGTGGACGAGGCGTCGTCCGCTCGTGCGGCGGACGCGCAGCGGATGGACTCGATGATCTTGCCCATGGGCAGGCGATTGACTGATTGCTTGCACGTGCCTGCCACTCACTTTAAACGCTATAGCGTCCGCGGAATAACGTTACAGTCACGGTAAACGTTACAGTCGCGGTATAGCTGATGTCGTTTAGGGAGGAGTAGATAAAGGTCGATCGTGACTGTACGACTGTTGGCGGTGGTTCGTACGATGGTGAGCGGGGCCCAGCACGCCTTTTTAAGGGAGTTGGTGGACGCAATTCGCAGTGTCTGATGCTGATTAGAGAGAGACGATCGCGCTCGACTCGCATTCGTAACAGAGGGATCGCTCTCATTTCCCCCTCAGCATTCAGCGTCGAGTAAACTGTCACGACATTCGTGCTCTGACCGGCGATGTATTGATGTGACAGCGTTGATCATCATGTCCACGAGGTAGACGCTTGCGTACGAGCAAATGAAAAACGAGGACGGTCTTGCGCAGGAGCAGCTCAACAGCTCGCACGATTCCCCATCGCCTTTATCAACTGTGCATTCCTCTTGTGTTTATTTCAACCGATCGAACATCGTGAGCCTCGGAATGCATCTCGTGAATGCTCCTGAAGCCATTGCAGCCATTCCCTAAGTTTCTGCTGTAGTGTTTGCACGATGCAGATTTTCTTTGCGTGTCGTCGATAGTGGCAACCCAGAAATTGCGCTGTCCACTCGAAGGAACACCACGTCGTAAATCATTTGCTTGGCTTTAACACAATCGCGTGTAGTGCGGCACGAGCTTTCGCTTCATGTATTCGTAATCAATGAGTTCTAAAGTCTAACGATCAGCAGACAGAGGAGACTAGTGCATTCCTATAACATGTCAGCCATCTCCGCCGATTTCATTTCGAGTTGAGCAGACGTCGGTATTGCTTGTCTGGGAATACATAGAAGCCGAGGCATATTCTTCCGAGTAAGAGGAGTCGATGCAGTAGTTGCGTCATAGAAATGTTCGGTTGTGCTACTGCGCTCCTTGCGCCATTAGCCATATTTGTGGGGGTATCCGTCACGCAGAGTCAAACTTATCATCAAGGTCTATCGACTGGTCCATACTGGCACGATAGACCCTTGATAGCTTGCACGCTTTCGCGTTTGAACGAGACGCCCACAGAAAAAGTTTAAGCGATGTCAGATTCATCAACAGGACGGTACCCTGCCGAGGGTCGAGACGACTCTGCTGCATATTGCTAGTTGAACTCTCTTGGTAGACATCGAGAAGATGTGATGGGAGACAAAGACAAGGTGGTCGTTGTTTTACATCTCCGGTGTATGAGAAAATGATCGCCTAGCTCGGCTCTCTCTTTTCTACACTCACCTTGCTTGTCACACTTCACTTCCACACTAAGCAACCCGCTCATGCATGGGTGTCAGCTGACCTGCTAATTGTTTACCCTTCTAAGTATCCCATCCCAATTGCAAGCTCTGGTGCTCGGTGGTCGACTTGTCCCGTGGATGATAGCTATCGGCGACTTTACCGCATCATTTTGGATTGGCGGCAGGTATCCAACCGGTTTGATCCGGAGTAAATTTCAGTAGCATCGATCTGCTTTGGCGACCGCTTGCGGAAGGTGAAATACACACCGAAGTGGAGACTCGACGTTCGTGTGATTTCTCGAGAGCCAGCAGTACCATCTACGTCATCTGAATATGTCGACTAAGATAGGGGAGCTTGCTCTGGAGCTCGCTCTTCGACACAAGTAATCTAGTTCAGAGAACTGACTTGAGATGCACGACACTACACCACAGCAGTGACTGAAGGACGAATATCATGCTGTTACTGTCCGTATTAACACAATACAGTATACTTGCAACTCGATCGGCCTTAGCTCTGAAGCGTCTAGCAGTTGCTTTTGTGATCGTATTCACATTTGATCGATTTTAAGCCAATCACAAGCATCCAAAAGCGCTCTTTGGCTAGGTCACTATTGCACCATAATAGTGACCTAGCCAAAGAGCGACTTCGGTCATACCCATGCCTAGGGGGGAACAGGCTAGCTCGCGCTTAGTACGGGTAAGGTACACCTAACCGCGCTATTTACAGACAGACGCACCCAGACATTCAGGTAAGTACGACTCAAAAGCTCGGCATTTAACCTTGCGCACATTCACGAATAGCTTTACCCTTCGGGCTCGCAATCACCATCTATGCAAATTTTGAGCTCTAGTCGTGACCACCGCCGTAAGAAGTTGTCGTAACTGCAAAAATACCATTAAGTTGTCGTAACTGCAACAAATTATTACGGTGGTGATAACGGCTAGGGCTCAAATCAATGAAAGCAGTAACAGTTCAGTATCGTCATGGGCACGGGTATCATAGCATACCTACAAAACGAACTACTGTGCCACTATTGAACCACCACGCAACATGGATCAGTCAAAGTATCCTTTACCTTCTGATTTGGGTTCGACTGCTCGGGAAGATCCGTATCCTGCTAAGGTGTCACCTCGGTGCCTCGACAGACGACCGGCTTTACGTCAGTATCTGATCGTGAATGTTAGAAGGTTTGTCTCAAGAGATGACCCGACAATGGCGTTTTGATGACTGGACCGCTACATCTCAAATTCTGACTTACGTGGCGACCTTGAACCAACCGTTGAGCGTGCACTTTACGGCCAAGACGTTGGTGCCATACATGTTTGTACTAGATGAATTGGTCGTTTACATACTCGAACAATTGCGTCAATTTGCAATTGTGGTGGTCTTGGCAGTATGATGATGCAGCTAAAACCAACGTCGTAACCATCGTAACAAAAGTAACAAAAACTAATGGCTGCAGCTATGGCTCGATGCAGTTCACCACGTTTCTGACAAAGCTCATGCAAAGGCAGTCTACTCTCGCTAGTTGTTTCGCCAGCGTGAGCTTGGTATAGCACTACCGCAATTCAAAACTCACTGCTATTTGTGGTCACAAAGGGCATTTGCTGCAAGTACGATAATGAAAGCGTGCAACCCAAACTTCGTATTTCTGGCGCCTTCAAAGCCAAAGAAAAAACTACCTAAACGTGCCATCTACAAAGACATGCTTTTCGTCAACGCCTTGTTTTTGGTTGCACCACCCCATAGCATACAGCACCATTCATCTTTTTCTTAATGCGCCGCTTTCGTGTCGAGTACGTGCCGGATGGTTCTCAATATCTACTACCGACAACAGTTTAATCGAAGAAACCAGAACATGAGCCTGGGATACACGCGACGAACGACGGATATCAAGTGAAATGTCAGTGCCTGACAGCGATACGACACGAGCAACTAACTATGATGTAAATTGCCACGAGTGTTTCCTGAAGTATAAACACGTTTACGTTTCGTGACGAAAACAACAACAGAGTACCACAATTCACTGTGCTAGCGCACGAGGGTCACCGCGATCAGTCTACATTTTCCACTTACGCATACGACACTACAACTTTACTGGTTGTTGCGTCCATCTGATCCAGAGCTCTCAGACTCCCAGGATTCGTGTCCACGATACAAAGCAGCCATTGTTCCGTAGAAATCATGCATCGGCTGCGCCCTCGTCTTGTGCTCTCCATATTCCACAAATGCTTGCAGCAGCTATTCGAAACCGCATTGCTGAATCAGGGCCTTTTGACTCTGTTTCTCGATCACGATCAACAGCACAATGCACCCGAAATCCACTGCGTTTATGCTACCTGTTCCGGACGTTGCGAATATATCACGGCAACGAGGCCGCTATCTGCAGCTTTTCAGACTACCAAGGAACTGGCACCTCCAAGGCTTTCAACATATGAAGTCGGGAGGCCACGATTATTTCCAAGTACATTTTTAGTTCGTAGCTAGCGATTACTACCGCTAGCTACCGAACGCTGGACAAAACCAATTCCATGCAAGAATGCTCTGCGCGTGCATAGCATATTGGTGATCAACGAGACTCTTAACTCAGTGGCGAATTGTCCCATCACAACGCAGTCTCTAGTCCATTTTGCAAATTCACAGCAACCTTAACGTGCAGCTGTTCCCGCCCTTGCCAAACTAACACGTGTTTTAATTCTCACCGCACAGCCACGATCAGCTTCACTCGGGATGAGCTACCGTTGGATCCATTATTCGTGGACAAAACACTAGAGCTCGAGCAACACCACCTACCCAGCTTCATAAGCTTGAATGATAGCTCTGCGTTCTCTCTAATGCAATGTCGGACAATATCCGAAGTTTACAAACGGCGTTTTCAACTACGTGCAGTTCGATTTCGGTATCAGAGATCGCACAGCTCTTCGAGTTCAGACCTCGACGTCCTTGTCAGAGCCGACAGCCAACGAACGATATTCACGAGCTGCGAGGAGTCACAGTCACAGAGTGATTGTCGCATCAAATCCCACAATATTTCGTGAGGACGCCACACTGCAGGTAAGAACAAAGCTGTCAAGAATGCTGTGCTAGCGAATTGGCCTATCAACGTCGCCATGAACCAAAGTAGAGGCTTTTGTTTCCTCAATCGGCTGCAAGTATCTGTACCATCCGAAAAACGCTCGGAGAAATACAGAAAAGGCAAACATAATACCTTTCTGTGTGCAGAACATCATCAGCCGGGCAAACTCATACCGCAGAAGTCGCGGGGTCCTTGAACATGCCAACTATCCAGCTAGATTGTAGTATTGCGGACACTTTTGACAGCATTCAATTCATCTAGCGAGAACTGAAGCTACAAAAACTGCATCGTTTCCACTTAGAAAGACCACGCACGACTTCTTTCAATCAGTGCGTCAATTGTTTGCACCTTATCGCAAAGACGACGATTCCAGAGTACCCACATTATAGTTCGCCCTGTGGTCAAGTCTCCTGTGCACTCTTGAGAGACACCAATTTGCCAGTGTTCGGGTCTATACAGAACTTTTCGTCGTGCTTTTTCAAACACTTCTCAAATTCCCGCGCCTCGGAATGAAAGTGGCACACCTGCTCAAACACAGCCTTTTGCATTTCCTCCTTTGTCTCGGCCACGTACTCATTCGAGTCGTCAATTGTACCCACGAACTGATCTTCCCTCTGCTCCACTTCGTTATAATAGTATGACTTGTCATCTCCAATGTTGTCATCCACCACCGATCGGAATGCCTCCTGTAAATACGGGTGACGAAGAGCCTCAGCAGCGGTAATGCGCCGCTTTGGGTCGTACACGAGTAGCTTTTCCAAAAGATCCAGTGCCTGTCGATTTGCATTTACATAGAGCTCTTCAAAAGGAATCTTCGGGCGCCGTCGTTGACGAGTAACCCATTTTTGTGCGGCTTCTTTCTGAATCTTGGAGATAAAAAAAACGTCGGGTGTGCCAAGCACGTTGAAGATCTTGCTTAGCTGATTGGTAGTGCTAGACCCTGGGAACAACGGTTTGCGGCCAAGCAGTTCACCCAAAATGCATCCAGCTGACCATAAATCGGAGGGTTTGTCGTACCAGCAACCGTCCAGGAGAATCTCAGGGGCGCGATACCATCGCGTGACAACATATTCAGTCAGCTCCACAAGCATGTCATCGTGCGAGCGTCCCCTGATACTTATTGCTTTTGAATAATCCACATAACGCGCAAGACCGAGGTCGCAAATCTTGATGTCACACGTACTCGTTACCAAGATATTTGACGGCTTCAGATCTCGATGGAGTACATCCGCGGAGTGTAAGTACGTCAAAGCACGCAGAATCTGTCGCATGAAGTGCGCGACGTGCTCGTCAGTCAGTGTTTGCGTGGAATGGATTACACGATGTAGATCAGTTTCCATAAGATCAGTCACGAGATAAATGTCCTCCAAATAAGACAAACGTTCCGGCCGAGGAATGTCATAAAGCTGGATCAGATGCGGATGACTCAGTTGACGAAGCAAGCACAGCTCCCGGAGAATTCGCTTTGTATCAGGCAGGTCTTGGAACGCGTTGGTGACTTTTTTTATCGCGACGGTTGCTCCTGATTCAACGTCGCTTGCAGCGACCACTTCGCCGTAGGTACCAGCACCTACCACCTTTATCAGCTGGTACTTTTTCGGAACATCAAACATTGTCGTCTTCCCCAGAAAGGTGTGGTTATCGCGAGATAACCTTGCGAGCTCATGGTCATTATCATCTTCAATTGTTGCCGTCACAGCGACTGCACTGATTACCTTATTCGAGCATTTTTCAAACGAATCAGTTTTGCCTTCGATTTGACGAGAAACGTATCGTTTGCCTCTTCCTCGCGGATAATCAGATGCTCCAGACGACGCTCGCTTATCAGACCGAATAAGTTCTCGGAGGTTGTAGCTAGACAAGCTGTGCAACAACTTTTCATCAGCAGAACTTCGCCTTGATTCCACTAACCCTCCATCGCTTGCCAGGCGCCGCAGCTGACTAAAGTTGTCAGCAGACGTTACTGACGGAGCGAAAATGATACCAAGCTGAATCCGACCCCGGAACACTGTCGGTGGTGCCCATGATTCCTTGCAGTCATTGTACTGGTCACACAAATTGTGCCAGCGAGGAAGAGCACCATTTGCCTTGGCATCCGCGGATCCTGCAACAAGCGATAAATGTGGTGTCACATTGATCTTGCAGACGCCGAGCAGTTCATCCGGAAGCATAAAGCGACTTTGGAACACCTCCACCTTCAGAAAATATGTGAAGCCGCGCGTGCAGCCCGGGAATTCCAGCCGAAGATTACTCAACCATTCAGGGCTGAGTGTTCCGACTTTATGGCGGCCACCCGGGGACGTCGTTGACGAGCACTTGCAGATATTCGTAACACATCCGCTTGGGTCGCCGAATATCGCGACAGTTCGTTCACCGGAAATCCCAGCAGCACGTCTCAATCCACGAAAGAACCGGGTTCCTTTGGACGGACGGCGGCGGGTCTCTTTATCTAGCGTATTCAGCGACGGCGTGGCGAGCTCATCGAGTCCGTTTCCATCTCCTTTGACATCCAGTCCACGCAATGTTTGTTCCATGTGGTTGCCTTCCTCCAGGATACATCGGGCGTACACTGGGTATCCCTTCTTCGAAGCAAGAGCACTAGAAGAACTCTGACCATCCGTTTTCGGTGCGTAGTCGTTCCCGCCCTCACTCACATGAAGCTGCTGGGCCTGCAAAATTTGTACGTAAAAGGTTCCCGGCGGAATCGAGTGCGAAAGAGCTGACGCTTCGCCCGGCAAAACGAGCCGGATGTTTTCCCCTCTTGGGGCATCGTCAAATGCAACCGAAAGTGCGACAGCATCGCCATTCAAATGCCATCTCACTAAGCGGTCCTTGTGATCTAACCACAGCTCATGCACAAATAGCTGTGTTACGCGCCGATTGTCCCCGCTATGCAGGTTGTAAGTCTCTTTTCCTGTGACAACTAGACGCCTTGTCCATTGCGATGATGGTGTCGATGCACTGACGGGGATTGACTTTGGTGCATCAGTTGTTCTAGGAGACAAAACATGCGAGTCAGCCGAGATCGGAGAAGGAGTGACAGGGTCTTGCTGAACATCGTCGACGCAATCTGCGTCGCCTCGCACCAGCTCAATGACTTCCAGAAGGGAGAAAGAATCCACCGTGACCGTGTCCAAAAGTGTAGAAAAGAACAGCAGAACACCATCGTACCGGCGATACTGCCCCCAGAACGGCACGATTGGAGGAAAGTTGGACGTGACAACCACATCCGGATGCATACTCCGAAAGAGCAGCGGGAAATCGTCGATTTCTTGGCGCAACAGTGAGCCTAGAAGTTGATAGAATTGGTGCGGCTCTAACGGCTGCGACGCAAACGCGACGTACGGACGGGCCACCTCGGGTGCGTTTGAAATAGCGATCTGGCACGCAAGCACGAGCAAAATAGTCAAATGTAAGCAACACTGAGCGCAAAGTAGAGAGTCCCTCACAACTTACATGGATCGCTCGCTTCCACTGCTCTTTCTCAAACGCGGTCCGCGAGCTCAAATGGTTAATACGCTTGCCTTCAGCAATCAAACGAAAGCCGTTCGGCTTGTCTGCGTCTTCGTCCTCAATTGCTTGAAGCTGGATTCGGCCGATGAGTTTCATGTTCGAGATAAAGTCTTCTCGCGTCTCGTAGAAGGCCATTGTGTCTTCCTCTAGCACGCAGTACGTCGCCTTCCAGCTCGCAAGCACGTCACTTTTCTTACTCAAGTAACCTTCAAATGCAATATCACGGTCCGTTCGATATCGTATTGTGTGTGATCTCCCGCGTTCAGCCGGAAGTGGCACTGTCAGCGACTCTGTCACGAGCTCAGAAGACACTTGTGCCGGCATTCCCTGCACCGAAAGAGGACCTGGTAGCACTGCTTTACCCACGTCAGCATGCCCTTGGCCAGTACTTCGTTCCATAAACAGCTTGCTGGTGTCTGCATATTTCCGTCTCGCTTGTGGTCTCCTGGGCGCACTTCCTGGCTGAATGCATTGTTGCAAGAGCCCCAGGAACGCAGCCATCCGCGTCCGATGCACGGGGTCAGTGTTCTTCACGGTAATGCCGATCTGCTCCGAGCCATACAGCTGCTCCATCCGCACGAGCAGCACTGTCTTGAGTCCGAAATTGTCCGTGACACTCGCGTACGCTCGGACCGCAAAGGGCGCGTCTGTGGGCCGTCCTGTCCGCTGCGGGAACACGACGAGGTCCGTCATTAGAGTCGATAGAAACTGCTGCTGGAAACTGCAGGCACCAGAACAAGGCGGTGACTTGCTCGCCGTCGACTCCCGACTCGCGTCCGGCTTGAGAAACGTGCAGCTGGAGCTCATTTGCTGCGTCGCCTGGAGCCACAGCGTCTCGAACAGCTCGGCGCTCATCCAGGGCTGCTCGAGGTGCTCCAGCTCGACCGCGGCGTCGTCCTCCTCGTCCAGCGTCAAGTTGCTCTCGCGACGCCGCATGGTGCCGCTGCGTGCGCTCGTCTCGGGCTGATGGCTCTCTGCCGCTCGCGGCTCGATCGCGTGCAGCGTGACGCAAAATACCGGTATTTTCGGTCGTCGGTGTTGAACGAGAGTGTAGCCATCTGAGTCAGCTGGCTGATACGATGGAAAAAAAGCTCTTTTTTGTTGTGACATTGTCAATTGTGTGTGTGTGTTTGTGTGTCTGGCGACAGACAGACAGTCGCTGTTGTAATAAATTGGACGGACGTGTTGAGTGCAGCTCTATTCCGGGCAGATGGTGAGGCAACTCCAGTGCTGCTGATACAGCTGGAACACATGACATGCAAGTAACTACTTTGTGCCCGGTGTTGCCAGCAGCGCATCGCAATTAAACCGATAGTGCTGCTGTGCAATAGCAACTGTGTCCAGCTGAATGGGTTCTCGTGTCGAAATTGGAGCCTCTCGAGCAGAGTTGCAAGGAGGACGACGATTGGGACTGTAATGTCTGCAGCGTAGTAGGCAGCAACCATGTTACTAGATATTGGCAAGAGGGATGGAAGCTGGTCAAGTTTCTGCAGACGTTTGCATTACAAGGAAGGCACTGATGAAATCGATGGAAGATGAGGAAGATGTAGGTCCATGCGGATGATTCGCCAGTCACTTGCACAATGTCCCGCTCACGTTGATACATGCCTTCGCAACACGGTAGATAGTTCTTGCTAGATGTGAATCTTGCTTTGAACAGCCAGCCCTTCGTGAAGCTTGTCTGTGCACCTGACCTCATCTTGTCATTTGATGGATCCAGCCAACGAGTTCCATGATGAGCTTGAGTGCAGTACCAACAATAGCCAAACATCGTATGCACCCCTGAGTGCAGGGTGCATCAAACAATTGGAAACTACAGGGTTAAAATCGGTTTAGCATTCGGTGGACGCCTACAATGTTCGAAGAGCTACGCAGGACTTCTACACATTATGAAAGCACGTTACTAGTAATAACGCGCCCTCGGTTCCGCTTCAATGCCGAGACGCTTAAGCACGTTCTCCATCGTGTCGTCCGTCGCGATATTGCTGGCGTTTTCACAGATCTTGACGTAAGCGTTAAAGAGCTCGCTGCCAACTTTCTCGTCCACTTTGTGCGCCAGCGAGTAGTTGAAAGAGTGGACGGTCGAAAGCCAGACCGTCGACGACGTGGCAATGAACGGGATGGCGCAGAAAGCAAACATATCCTGCACCTCCAGCACGCCGTTCGAAGCCAAAATGTGTTTCGTTTTGAACATGTAGCGTCCGAGGTTGGAGATAGTGGCATCACCCGTGCACGAGTTCGGGATTTTGAAATCGCCGAGCATCTTCCCCACTTTCGGCTTGGTGAGCTCACGGTCAATGAGGAAGCACGGAAATGCCATCTGCAGAAGCTTCTGGTCCTGTATATCCAGCTGCTGCTTCGACGCACGAGCAAAGTCCCAAAACTTTGTCGTCTTCAAGTTGACGCCCTCGGCGGCGAGACTCGTGAGCGGAGTGTTAGTCACGTAGAGACCCACGTGGTTTTCTTTAGCGGGATGAGGCACGCGCTGGCGCATGTTGTAGCAAATGTCCGCCACGAGGCGAAACGCATCGTCGGACGCGTCCGCGGTCTTGAGCTTGCGGTCCACCTTGCTAGCGTGGTAGAATGCCAGCACCAATATCGGGATGAGGGTTACTCCGACCGTCACACCTTCCTCCTTGCACTTGCGCAAGGTGTCACGCATGTTGGACGGATTGCCTGCATGACTGAGCAGCGTGGTGCTGTTCTGCTCAAACTTGGCGCTGAAGTCTTTCTGGTCCTCGCGCGGGGTCAGCACAGGCTTGAATGCCTTCATGAAGTTGACAAACGCTGAGCCTCGAGTTAGCCCCAGAATGGCCTTTGCCAGAGGTCTGAGCCACCATGAACTCGTGAGCCACATGTCGTAGAGTGACGGAAGCAATGGCAGTTCACACACCGGTTGCGCCGCTTCGATCGAGAGCAGCGCGACTCCCTCGAGCGTGTCGTTGACAAAAATCTGCCCCGAGTCTCCGTCCGACATGATGTGGTCCGAAAAGAGGAAGAAGCGAGCTGAGCCCTCTGCCCTGTTGACCCACACCGTGAGGTAGAACATGAACTGCTTATAGCGGTCAAACGGGACATGGGTCTCGCTCTGCACGAACTGGTTCCAGTTCTGCCACGCCGCCGCGTCTTCGTCCGAGTCGGAGAGTTCGCAAACTCGCAGCAGCTTCTTGTCGTCGACATCTTCCAGCGAGATTGGCGGCTGCACTTCAGCCGTGAACTTCTCGTCTGGAACGACCAGCGCTCGCAGACGCGGGTGTCGGTTGAACGTGCGCATCACGGCCGTCGGCAGGAACTTGACCAGTTGGTGCATGTCGCCAGTGATAGCAATCGCGTGGCAGCATTTGATCGACACGTCAAGATTCGCGATGCCCAAGCGCTCAGTAGCTCGCAGTGGGAAGCGGCGCTTTTTGTCACTTGTCGCTTGAGTCTCGACCGGGAAGCAGCTCATGGGGCACTGGCGTCTCGTAGTTGGGACTTGCTCAGCTTTTGGCAGAATGGACGTGGTCGCACACTGTGGGGCTGTGGCTTGCGTTCGGGTCTTCTGAACCAAAGGAGACACAGTCGCGTCTTTGCTTGCAGATGCGTAGAGGTCCAGACTCGACTGGCCCTTCTGCCACTTGACTGCAGATCTCGAGGGACTGAAGCTGCGAACGCCCAGCGAGCCTTGACATTGGCTGAGTATGTCATATCTACGGCCCGTGTCCGTATGCAGCAATGGCGGCATCAGTTAAGCGAAAGCTCATTCATTTTACACTCTTGATAAGGAGACTGCGACTGCAAGCACATGGAGGCGGAGGCTGTAACCGTAAGCTTTGGCGGCTTCAACTTGACCGTCTTGTCGACTTTGCGAACCTAGAAAAGTCGGCTACTGTCGACATTTGCGTGGTCAAATGTTTTGCAATAGCACGACATTGCAAAGTCGGACCAGCTGAACGTTTGGGTGATTTGGAGGGGGTACAGTCCGGACGTCTACAGCTGATGAGGCTTCTTCAACAACTGCTTCAGGCCCTCGCTGCGAACGACGCATTGCTTCACAAGCCGCCACCGGCGACAGTCCAGAAGGAATCCATTCTTCTGACTCCCGTGGAGCAGCGAACTTGCTGGCGCACCACCAGATTATTCGCCGATTCAGCTGTTCGCTACCCAGTTGCGGGGAGACTTCAAATGCAGTACCATTTTCGGCTGTGTCTCAGGCAAAGAGCCAGGCAACCAAGAGAGCCACCACCTCGGGTGAGGAGCTGCGTACAATCACCAGGCTCAGATGAGACACCGGCGTTGCTAACCAGGCTTGAGAGATATCACACATTCTGCAACCATAAACAGGTTAAATAGGCACGTCTGCACCTCTCTCGAACGTGTTCGGCTTTTTTTTGCTCTGCCCATCTCAAGCTGTGCCGGCTATCCATTAGGCCTTATTATTGTATTGCCAACAGGGGTTAAGCAGCGGGCCACTTTTGCGAGCCCTAGTGATGGTGGCCACGACAGGAATCAAGATCAACACGTTCACCCCCGCCATCGTTCTTCTATCCGTCAACGTAGAGACAGCGCCCAAGATCGACTGTGCTCACGACCTTGGTTACGGCTTTCTCGAACATTGCTTGCTCGAAACTGTGATAAGTACACTTGGTAGTACGACTTACAGCACACACAGACAGGTACAAGCTGTAAAGGGAAGCGGACAGCGTTATCCAAAAGGTTGGGAGCTAATCGCATATCCTAGCCTCGTTCTTAGCAAGAATTTCATGCACACAAACAGAGGTGACCTTACTTGCTCATAAATAAGTCGAAAGCGACAAGCTTGCACATTCATGAGTCCTCGTAAAGCAGCTTCAGCCAAATGTACCTGGACGACCTTTGCATCGGTAACACTCTTTCCATGTTGTACACTGCTCCACCGGTAGCATGGTCTTGGTATATTACATTAGGATGGTTTATGCAATGACAACGTCGACTTCTACTTTCGTTGGGTGCGTGCATTTCAAGCCCGAGCCGGGGATCGAAGCAACCGCAGCCTTTGTAGTGTTATGGTCTTGCAAGGCCATGGGCCGGTCGTGTTATTACCTGTATGTAGAGGTCCCGCATTTCTCTCGGTACATCGTGAGAAACGCGCATAGTCTCACGCAAATTGCTGCAGAGAGTGCTAACGGCGAAGCCTTGGCTAATGACGTACTTCTTGGCGGTGTCAACGGCTTCCTTCTCACTATTAAAAAGCCCGGATGGTTAAACTTCACCGCAGCTTCATGGCGGAGCAGCTAGTCATAGCATCACGAACAACAGTAGAAGCCGCCATGCCAGAGGAGGAAGGTGGTAGGGCCACACATCATAGTGAGAATGATGAGCGGTTGCTGTAGAACGAATGGTCGAAAAGCATGGCCCTTCGCTCAACCCCTGCTGGCAATACAATAGTTAGGCCTAATGGATAGCCAGCACCAATTAGGTTGGGCAAAGCAAAAAAAGCCGGAAATGTCAGTGCATTCAGGCAAAAATGTTAGCGTATTTAAAATGTCCCTATCTCGTACGACGTACCGGATGGAATTGGATCGTTGCTATCTAGTCGGGAGAACCGGCGTTATCGGTCGTATCGCAGACCTCACGTGGGCAAGTAATAGTGAGTGGTGACATACGAATACATCGTAGACTGTGAGTCAACATCGCGCTTCAAACTGTGTTAAAGGAAGTGCATCGAGCATGTCTCGTCTTATCAGAAGGACTGGCATAATTCATTGCGACATTCTCAATCGATGCTAGGACATGTACGTTTGTGCAAGTGCGAGTTTGAAGGGAGAAGCTATTGGTAAGTGTGCGCAAGGTGGAGTCGAACTTTTCGGCAGCTACATTTTTTTGGACTGTGTGTGTCTGTGAGCCACACGGGGTCCAATGTACACGTCCTGCTGTTTGTGGGGTTTGCGGGTCCTCTCGTCATCAGGTGTTGTGCATAGCAGGTGTCGATTTATGATGCACTAACTGCGACTGCTTAAGAATCTGAGCAGGTATGCAAAATATGCGAAATAATCGTGACGGAATGTGGGTGGTACGGGAGCCGATTGGCGACGAGATAGCATGCACCAGCCGCTCGACGAGGACGTGGCTCGATGCTTGGGAAGTCCAATCAACATACTCGAATTCTGGACAAGCACCAGCGCCGCTAGTAGACGACACCGATGCTCGGCTCTGGTTACGGAAGTGTGAGTATGGCAGTGTTGAGCTGTAACCCGATGTGATGCGGGCTGTCGTATAAAGCCACGCAACCCTTGAAAGTCAAGGGAAGACTTTTCGGCTTAAAATCTACTTGGTTCGTATAAACTGAAAATCACGACTCAAAAGGCCACTAGCATAATTAAACTGAATACACTGACGTAAAGAGTCTACCAGCTCACGTGGCAACAACATCAGCACAAAGTATTCGAAAATCAGACGCTATCACAAAGCTTGCACTTTCGTTGTTGTAAGAGCACATCCACCGCACCACATGATAGTATCTCTAATCTAAAGTGCTACTTCGGGTGGGACTACGCAATAAAGTACTCATTCTCTAAAGTTCCACACCCAAGTTGCACCACTTCAAAATGTACAACGCTGCTTTATTCATACCACGCTCGCCGCCCGTGGCAAACGCATTTTAATGAGGTTTAGCAACGTCTCATAATTTTAAGTTTGCAGGCGCCAGGTTTCAAAGAGAGTGTGTGTGCGAGGAGCTGGTGCAGTTTTGGTGGCAACTTAGAATGTGTAGGTTTTGGAGAGAGGTTTGGAGTCACTCGAAATTCGGATTGGTGGGCCGAAAATATGGACTGTTCTCTGACATCAAGATAATATTAAGTAGGGCGGTGGGGCGCAAATACGTCAAACTTATTTCAAAATAGAGATGTAACACCAGATAATGTGACCCGGTGGAGATGCTCTATGAATGAGCTCCACTTTGTTCGAGTTTTTGCAGAAACGATTCGAAAGCATTTTTACGCGAGATATGACAAGGGTGTTCGAAACAGCAAACGTATATGAAGTACTGAATTGCCACGTGTTTAACAAAGGCACAATGGACGCTGCATATCGGTAAATGGGTTCGTACGGCCTTCACTTGTCCTAATCGTAAATGTAGTTCACACTTCGCATTCGCACTGTCACACTGAAAGAGCAAAAAAAAAGTTGGCACCGCACATGGAGATGGCACAGATTTCTTAAGCAAATGCAGCATTTTGAATCGCTAAGACAGCATTGATAAAATTTTAAATATATTTAAATTATGCATAATAATTATTTTTCAATAAATATGATGTATACATAACCCACCACGTTCAACTCTTCCATTGACTCCTCTAAATAAAATAATCGTCTTACGACTATTTTATCTCCAGTTAATTCTCTCATGATTTTGTAATTGGCTTTGCTTGAAAAGCCAATTACAAAATCATGAGAGAATTAATTGTTTCCTTCGGTTTTACACATCATTTTATAAACAAATTTCAAAAAAAAAAAGAAATTTGGAGATACATGAGTCGATTTACCTTCTTTAGGTACATTTGAATTATTTTGAGATGCGAAATCTCGATTCATATTCGTAAATACGTCCAATAATTCTATATTGTTTTCTTAGACAACTGTTTTATTATGTTTTCCGGTTTTATTACTTTCCGGTACCGTGGCTAATTATTTGTGATCTGCCATTTCTCGAAATTAGTTTAATTCCGAGCCCTAAGGGTGAAGCTATTAGTGATTGTGCGCGAGGTGAATGCCAAACTTTTCAAACGGTGCTCACCGGTGTGTCTGCCTGTGTGCTTAATTAACGCTTGGTGTAACGTACAGATCATGCTGAGTGCGACGTAGCCTGTCCCCTCCTCATTCGTGTCACTCTTGGATTAGGTCACTAGGTGCGTCTGCGAAGTGTGCAATGTTCACATAATTTACATAATTGTGATAAAAGGTGGGAAGAGGGATACCAAGCAAGTACTTGACACTCAGGAGCCGCATCAACACCGATCACACTTACTGTTTGTGTAATGCGCAAACTTCTGGCACATTTCACAAACAGTAAGAGTGATCGGTGTTGATCCAATTTACTTGATATACTCAAATAGTAAGAGGCCTTGGTAACCGGTCTCTCTCTGTAGCAGTCATCGCTTCTATCAAATAGTTTCTCTATACTGTAAATGCTTTATTTTGTCGTCGACTACATTTTGTGGTTGATAGCCGGACCGAGGCGGATCATCCTTTGTCGACATTGTCTAACAATCGTCTCCCGAGAACGTCAACAACATCCACAAGTATATTTAAAACACACAGGTCTTTCAGCGCTTTAACATTTATCACACAAAGCACAACACATTTTTTAGCTGCTAACTACTAGAAATGAAAAGTGAACATTCAGAACTTGATTGATTATTTCGGACTCAATTACTTATAATAAAGGGCGAGCTGCACAGCTTGCTCCCTTCTCTTACATGTCAATTGATG